CAAAATGGGGCAAAAACACCCGGCGGGCCGGATAAATGTCCTCGGCGGGCCGCATGTGGCGCGCGCGCGGCCGTAGTTTGAGGACCCCTGCTCAAAAGGGTAGTATTTTCCCAGAGACAAAATCCACAGGGATAAGAGAGGAGGAGGAACAGCAACAGGGAGTTGGTGAGGGGATTGCAAGGAGTTAAATCGGAATGTGTATGAATTGTTAAGTGTACAAACTCTGATTTGCTCTGTAAACAGTCACCTAATTCACAAAGAAAAAGTAAAAAAGAAAAAAATGGGGAAAAAGTAGCAGCAGAATGGCAAGAGTAGCCATTTCCCCACTTGTAGTCATTTGGTCACTCCTGCCTCCCCTGCGGCCCCATTTTACTCACTCTGCCCCAAGGGACCGGTAAAATAGGGAACTGAGCAGGCCTGCTCAGGGGCCTGCCTGCCCTCACAGCATGCACTTTCTTCCCTGCCCTTCAGTCTTTATGGGATTACTTCTTCCCTGGGGATGGCCCATCCGGACTGCCAGTCACTGCAGGAGTCTGACTCATTCTGGGGATCAGTTGTCCTCAGTCCTGGGCTCTACAAAGAGAAGTCATTTCCTCCAACTTGGCCCTGTCAGTAATCCAGGCCATGTGTCACTTCTGGTTTTATTTCTGTTTATTCAGATCCTGGTTGGGACAAGGGGACCCTTAGAGAACTCAATATACAATTAGACAAGGCTGGGAAAAGAGACCCATAAGAAAGTTACTTTACTAGTTCATGCAAAAGATGACAGTCTACCAAAATATATGTGATAGGGAGAAGAGGATGCTTGAGGGCCCGAGATGCCAACCCAGTAGACTTTCTTTACATTGGAAGAAGCAGGACAGAGGACACGACTTGTGCTCCATCCTAATTTCATCATGAATACACATTCAGTGAGGAGCATTTTCCCCCGGGAAACTAGCAAGGCAGGGAAGTGCGTACACCATGCAAGCTTCCCTCTTTCAGTTCCCATTGGACAGACTGAGGAATTTCAGACACTGATAGCCATGGGGTCCATATCTTACCCATGTATGTGGCAGGCCAAGGGGACTGGTCCCCTCCTCCATAGGGGTTCTGGGGCTTGGTGTTCAGAGCACTTGTGTGGAGAGCAGAATCAGAATTGGTCCTAAGGAGGGAAAGAGAAAGACCATACGAAAATCCATTATTTCTTTAGTGAAAACAGCATAGTCTTTGCTTGAATATTACCACAGGATAGAAGGCAAGATAAACCAATCTACCACCATCCACAAAAGAAGGGGTCTAGGCCGGAAGTATCTTACATGAGTAACAGCCTCTGAGGGTCACCCACAACCCAAACAGGCTTCAATTTGTACTCATATGACCTTATGCTTTGTGGCTAATGGCAAAATGATCTGTTTTAACAAGGTGGGCATCAGATTCATGGTGGCCCTCAAAGACCTTCTGATTCTTCCTCACAACTGAAAGCAGTGGTTCTCAACCTCCTAATGCCACGACCCTCTCATACAGTTCCTCATGTTGTGGTGACCCTCCCAACCGTAATATTATTTTCGTTGCTACTTCATTAACCCTAGCTTTGCTACTGTTATGAATCAGATGACCCCTGTGAAAGGGTTGTTTGACTCCCAAAGGAGTCGCAACCCGCAGGTTGAGAACTTAAAAGATCTTAAAAGATCACTGTGACCAGTATCATTTTCTGCAGCTGAGCTGCAGCTGAGAATTGTCTTCATACGAAAGGTCTCAAATCCTTGTAATGGTTCTCAAATGCACACGTTTTCAACATCATACTAAGATGTCATCTGCTCTTTCACTACTCTCACATCAGCTAGAAGATGTGTGATATCACGACAGAAGGAATATATAAGCAGAGAATTCAGCTACTGGAAAGTGATTTAGAAAACAGGGCTGCTTTTCTCAGTAAATGTCTATTTTTAGTTTTGGCAAATATACTTAAGTTTCTTAAAATTATATGAGGGCTTCAAAATGTTTGTGGAAAAATTCCATTATCTTTTAATTACACTTTCCCACACACTTGTTGAAGCCCCCTCGTATTATTGATGTTAACATAATTTTATTATGTTATTGTTATTTTAAGCATGTAAAGGATCCTAACACAAAAAGTTTGGGAACTGGTTTGATTGGAGAGATATAAAACTGAGAGTAGGAGACTAGTTAGGGAATTTTCTAACTTCCTATGTTATAAAAGTTCAGAAAATTTTCTAGATAGCTTCAATTTTCACATAGCCTTGACTCCAAGGGATGATAATCTATCGTAATCAATGGTCATACTTTCTTCCATAAAAAGGGCTGTGGGTGACTTGTTAAGTTCTAATTAGCCTACAATGACTCTTTGTTCTGTGTGGTCCATTCCAGGTGAGGGCCTTATGTGGCACTAAGCTACAAGGTCTGACTCAGCGACCAGGACTCCGACGCCTGTTCCTTTACTGCCTCAGAGATTCAAGCAAAACCAAAAAAAGCAAAGCCCCAATGATGTCGAGTGGATGACCCTTTAGGTCAGAGCAGAACTGCTCCCAGAGGATTGCCAAGGCTGCACATCCTTACAGAAGCAGATGGTCACATCTCTCTCTTGTAGAATAGCTGGTGGGTTTGAACCACCGACCTGTTGGTTTGCCGCAGAGAGCTTTAACCACTGAGCCACGAGAGTCCCTCCAAAGCGATTCAAGGGACTACTGATCAAACGCTGGGAAGCAACCAGGGAAATCAAGTAACAGACTAGGTAGTCAATCATATTAAAGAGTCACTGATACTTTTGTTATGTATAAGAGGTCATGATAGTTGTGCTTTTTTATTTTTAAAAAAGGTTCTTATTGTGGAGGGAGGGTGGGGTGGAGAGGGGGAACTGATTATAAGGATCTACATATAACCTCCTCCCTGGGGGATGGACAACAGAAAAGTGGGTGAAGGGAGACGTCAGACAGTGTAAGATAGGACAAAATAATAATTTATAGATTATCAAGGGTTCATGAAGGAGGGGGGATTGGGAAGGGAGGGAAAAATGAGGAGCTGATACCAAGGGCTCAAGCAGAAAGCAAATGTTTTGAAAATGATGATGGCAACAAATGTACAAATGTGCTTGACACAATGGATGGATGGATGGATTGTGATGAGTTGTACGAGCCGCCGATAAAATGATCGAAAGAAAAAAAGGTTCTGATCAATCCTTTGGGGTTGTGGTAAGTCAGAATGGACTCAGTGGCAGTGAGTTTGGTTTGTTTGGAGTTATCAAGCCTTAATCTGTTGAAACACTTATAAAGGTGAAATACTGCATCTTGTTGGTTCTACCATGGGGTTGGTCAGCAGGGGTCACGATGACACAGATGGTTGATATGGACTAAGCTGGAGAATGGACACCAGAGGCCTCAGTATAACTCTTTTCGAGTTTGAGACTTTCTACTATGAAGAGGCTTTTTGGTTTTTATTTTTAATTTGTTTTATCAAATATTAGAGATGTAAGTCACCGTAGCCTGTTAGAATATTATACCCATCCTTATAGTCTTGTCAGGGTTGGAGAAAGAACACATGAAACACTGTAGTCAGACCCCAAGGCTCATACTAATGGCTAATGTTTACTGAATACATGTGCTGCCCACGTTATTACTTTAATTCTCATAACCACCCCAGGCTCAAGTGAACTGAAGCATACAGATGTTCAATAGTTTGTACTTTTCACAGAGGCAGAGGCAAACCCCTGTGGACCCACTCCAGAGCTCTTACCCTGATACCCTATCCCCTTAAACATTCAGTCAGTACTTGCTAAATAAAGAGTTTGGGCTTGGTTTTAGTATTTCGGCTGTCAAATACAGCTGACACAGACCATGCTCTGGTTGTCAGGTGATATGTAAAGCCCATCAGGCTAATCAAATTGATTGGTTCTCTCCTTTAACACATCTGCATCTATTAAGAAACAGCCCAAGTACCTGTTAAGTGCAGATGATAGCCGGAACCCAGGATGCTTTTCATCTTTCCAAGGAGGCCTTGAAAAGCAGAACGACAAGAAAGGAAAGAATTCACTGCTCTGGGAGCAAAGGAGAACACACTCAGAGCTGGGTTGCCAACAGGCTCACTCAGCTATACCCCTGAGAAAAGTCCTGGAAAGGTCCCCGGCCTAACAAACGTCCAGGAGGAGCCTGGTGGGGACTCTGCCGTTTGGAGTGTGAGTCAAGTCAGTTCTGACTCACAGCCACCCTCTATGGCAGCGCAGAGCTGCCCCAAGGGTTCCTCAGGCTGCAACCTTATGGGAGCAGATGACCAGGAGCCCCAGCTGGGCCCTGGCCTCGGGCTTTTGGGTCAGCAGTCAAGCACACGACCACTGCACCGCCAGGCTTCTTTTGCTGAGAATATGAGGAGTTTAAAAAAGGGAAAAGCAAAAGCAAACAAGGACCTTTGAAAACGTTGGAAAAAGTTGAAATCTATGACTGGAGTCCTCTTTAGGGGATGTTGGACCTGATTCCAGATGTGAAAGAAACTACCCCTCACTGCACACCCTCAGGTTGACTAGGCGATCCTGGATGCAAACCTTTATATTTCAATATTGATGCTCATGGACTCCTGGTGGTATAGTGGTTACGTTTTGGGCTGCTAACTTCAAGCTCAGCAGTTTGAAACTACCAGCCAGCTCCTCAGGAGAAAGATGAGGCTTTCTACTTTTGTAAAGAGCAACACTTTCAGAAATTCACAGGGGCAGTTCTACCCTGCCTTTTAGGGTCACTATGAGTCATTGTTGAATCGGCGGCAGTACGTTTTTGTTTTTTAAAATACAGATGACCATCAAGAAAAATATTATTTATGTAATTTAAAAATTGACATAGTGACCCTTATGAAATACCTCCCTAGGGAGGGAGTGGCTGACAAACTAATGTGGAAGGCACGTGTTATCTGCATAAAAACACAGTAGTTTAAGGAAATATTAGTCTGAATACTGCTAGTGCTTGGGAAAATACAATACACTTTTCTTGGGCACAAATAAAAAGAATATCAGCTTAGAGATACTCTCTCTGATTTAAAATAAAATATATCTATCTTACAATCTTGCATGCCACATTAGTTCTTCAGGGGGGTAACGACCTTTGTGAGGTAGAGGCTAGATATTATACATCGTTCTAGCCTTCTAGGTCAAGGCTACATTATCCATAGTAGGCATTTGCCCAGAGGCTGAATAAGGAGTAGATTTCAGCCCAGAGAGCTACATTTTTCTCAGTATCTGTATTTCGAATGCCTCCTAAATCTGACCCACCCACCGCCAAAGCTGTTGCTGCCAGAGAGTCTGACCCACAGTGATCTCATAGGCCAGAGCAGAACTGCCTTGCAGGTGTCCCAGGCTGCAAGCTTTCACAGAAGCAGACAGCCACATCTTTCTCCTGTGCAATGACTGTACGCTCAAACGGCTGACCTCTCACTTAGCAGCCAGGTTCCTAACCACGGTAATCTGAAAATCTGATCCAGTAATGCTATCACACGATGATACAGCAGGCTGATGCAGCTAACTCTGTAGTCTGTCACTGTCTAGATGGGCTTAACACAAGTTCAAATGTGCTGCATCAATAGCCTTTCTAGGAGTCTTTTGTTCCTTTCAGTAGCTAAGGTTCCCTCAGAAAATGTGCTTTATTTTTCCGTGTTTCAAACACAAGAATACCAAACTAGAAATATTCTGTTGTCAAATGTATGCCAAATAGATTTCTACTTGGTTTTAACTTTGAAGATCTAGATTTATTTAAACAATTTTCATTTTAGACTCTCACAGAAGCTTAGATATGGAAAGGAATACATCTTATAAGAGTAAAAACCACCTCTAGACTTGATAATAGACATTTCTAAAACAACACTCAAGATGGATAAAGAAAGTGAAACCATCACAGAAACGCATGCTCAGCACATATTTTAACGTGTGGCTAGCTTACCTTGGCCAACTCTCATCCAAATGCTGCGAGGAATAATTGGCTCCAATTGTACTACCATCAAAGTAGAATTTTTAATAAAGGAAAAATAAAATTAATAGAAAGTTCAGACAGAATTAAGTTAGGGTAATGGAGAGTGAATTAAACAACTAAGTTTGAGGCTCTTACCTTTATTTCTATATCCCATAGCTCTTCCTCCATGCTTTCTCTAATCAACTTCCTCTAGGAGGATGATCCCTCTATCTTTCAACCAGCATCTTCTCTGCATGATTCACTCGGAGAACTACTTTTTGTTTTATCTTGTTTTTGTTTTTGCCTGGTTAGCATCTTTTGTTTTTACGAACTGGACCTGTCCTCTACCCCAGACCTGGTAAGACTGTCTGTCATTCTGTCTGGCCTCTGTTCCACAGGATGGACTCAGGTTCAGACATTCCCATTATTGTACTTCCTCTCCCTGGAAACCGTGATTGGTTCAGGGAGGGTTCAAGACCCATACAGGACCAAGGAGAGGATAAGGAGGAGGAAAAAGGGAGTGTCCTCAATTGAGGTGGAAGAACTGAGGACCATGTAAGCCTGGGATTCTCCCCTCGGAAGAAGTCTGTTGGAGTATGAAATCAACACAAAATAAATTCCACATAGATATTGAGTGGCAATGATATTGTATAACCCCTTGTCTAGCTCCTGGGCTTGCTGGGCATAAGCTAATACTTCCCCGTCTCCAAGTTAAGAAGAGTGATTGTCACTTACAACCCAGAGTGCTATCTTAGATGTGTGGAGTGTGATCAACTTACTGGTGCCAACTGGAGCTCTGCTTTATCAATTCTGTACCCTTCACTGAGTCCAGCCTGCCTTTGAATATACCCTCCAGATGCCTGTGGAGATAGTGGATACAGCTGAGTGTGGCACAGCTATTTTGGTTAATTTCATTTTAATTATATTTTAGAAAACAGTAGTCTTCTTAAAACATCTTTACCATATTATTCTCCTGCTAAAAAATCTTCAGTGATTCTCTTCAGCCACAAAAGGCAAACTGTTTGACCTGACACTTAACGGACTCTGCAATTTGGTCACAACCAACCCCTCTGCTCTTCTCTTCACTCTAGCTGACGTGCCTCCACAAAGACCTAGGTCTCCCTGCCCTACAGCGCTTGCTTCCCACCTCTACCTCTGTGGGCACAGCCAGCGCACCTCCTTTCACCTCCTCAAAACCACCCCCATTCTTTTTGCCTCCCCTATTACTGACTGTCTAAAATTAAAATTAGCAATTATTAATAATACTTTGGATCCAAGACTTTAAGGGGGAAAGAATAAAAAGACAGATGTTACTCACTGCCTTTCAGTCAGTTCCAACTCCTGGTGAAACCGCCCAGGAGAGGAGAAAACTGCTTCCCGGATATCTGAGACTGTAAATCTATAGGGAGCAGGCAGCCTCATCTTTCTCCTGGGAAACAGTGGGTGGGCTTTCACGGCTGACCTTGTGGTTGGCAGCCCAGAGCTTTAGCTCCCTAAATATTTGGAGAAATTTGAACATCAAACCACCTCCTCCTGTGTGCCACACTTGTGCTGATCTGGTTCTGGCTGGCATTTAATCCTAACAATCCTAGGAGATTGACAATACCATGTCCATTTTTACAGTGGAAAGAGCTGAACTTAATTCTAGATGACAGCTGGCATAGCAGATGTATCAAACCCACAATTCACTCAGATGCCTCTCAAGAAACAACATACTAACTAACACCAGTGCACCAGAAAATACACAACAGCTACCTGAGTGTTCTCTGGGAAGAATGATAAGCAATAAAAGACGGCATCCTCTGCTTGGACTCAGGAGGAAACGGAGTCTTGGTGGAGAGGGGCCTCTCTTGCAGATCAGGGTTGGGCTCACCGATGAATACAGATGGGCGCTAACGAGCTCTTAACGATTTAGTGTGAACCGTTGCCTTTGCCAGGAGAAGCAGGGAGTACCAGTTTCATTTTCTACTTATGAGTTTTTCTTGTCATGCCTACTTTTATTATTTCTTACTCTGAATGTGAGTCAATGCAATAAAAGAGCGCTCTATTCACAGACATTGCCTAACCACGGCCTATCAGACTGAATAGTTAGTACATATTAGGATACCACAGTGGGAGGCAGAAGAGGAACAGAGGATAATGAAAAACGAAGGCTCTGAGAGCTGAAGCAAAGTCACTGGGGAGGGGACAATGAGCCCTGCCACCTGTGGTTGGCTACCTTTCCCAGGTCTGTAAGCTGTGCTGAGCTTCTGTCCAGAGAAGCTTCACTCCACAAAGCAGTAATTATAGCTTCTCTCAGTACCCTGCCATCCTTTCAGAAATGTCACTGAGCCCAACTACTTAGTATTGGTAAAGCAAATGAGACTGCAGTGGTGGAATATGAACAGTGGCCATGTACCAATTCTTTCAATGCCCTGGAATAAATTAGCATTTAACCTTTCTGATCTTTATTAATCATATGAAAATAGATTCCTGAACATCTTTAATAGGATTAGGCTGGGGCATCCGAAGAGAAAAGATGTAACTTCCAAGCTTTCTTGATGCTCACGGTCTTATCTAATTTACATAGAAGGTCACCACAGGTAGCAGCTGACTGGGCAACAGCAGCAGCAGCTCCACCATCTAATCAAATGGGCATTTTCAAACTCAAGGACTACTGGCACTGAGCAAACCATGATTGTTGGAGGGAGGAGGAGGAGGAGTGTGTGTGTGCGCGTATGTGGTGTGTTCTTTTGAGGGCTGCAGACTTCATTCAGGTGATTTTAATTATTCCACCACCCTGATATGTCCCAAAGGAACTACCTAATTGGAAAACTTGGATTTCCCAACTTAATTCAACAAGCTTTTACAGAGCGCCTGCTAGTTAGCATCCTGCGAACATGAAAGAAATACAGGGTTTCCAAAGAGCCAGGCCAGCTTCTCCTCCACTACCTCCCTTAGTTAAGCCTAGGTTTTGGCTCAAGGAACATTCCCACGCTAGAAAAAAAGAGATAATGAAAAAGGTCAAGAGGAAGAGGTGGCTGCAATGATGAAAATTTAAAACTAATAATAAAGCTTGAAAAATAAACCTCTCCTGCTCTATCCTGGAGTTTTGTTTTTAACCCCATGCATTCCCTTCTGGAAAACTCCTCCACATCTCAGTCTTACATCCTGTGCTTATTGCTCAGCCCTATCCCCTCATTGCAGAGATTCTCAAAGGGATGGGAGGGAGGGAGACGAGACTCAGGTTCCTGGGGTCCAGGTAGCAAAAAGGCAAAGAGGGGGGAACAGGCATGGACACAGGAGAGGGTGCCCTGGGCACTCTAAGCTTCATGTGTGAATGGCAACGGCTGACAACCCCTGACCACAAGTTCTTCTTGAGCAATCTCTTCCGTGCCCGAGGCTCCAGCTCCCACAAACCCATGCCTCCAGCGCCCAGGAGCTGTTTAGGTTTTTAACTTCTTATTGTGAATTGGGTGAAGGTCTATTCCTGTAGTTCTTGTGCCAGTCCATCTTTCCAACTACCTACTCTGCTTCTCCATAAAGTAGTAATACGTGGAACCAAACCCCTGTTGTAGAGGAGAGCATGACTCATACTGACGCTACAGGACAGAGCAGAACTGCTCTACAGGGTTTCCATGGCCCTGGGAAGATGGAGTGGGCTTCAAAGTGGGCTCACAGGTAAGAAGGACGGTGAAGAAGCACAGGAATGGGCAAGGTTTCATTACGTTGTGCACAGGTCGCTATGAGTTGGAATTGATGACACCTAACCACAATCTTCATAGAAGCAGACTGCTTCATCTTTCCCCAGTGGATTAGCCACCCACCCTCAAATTCCACATGAAATCTCAATGTATAGTCCACAGGGTACCATCTACCTGAGTGCTCAAGTTAGAAATCTCAGAGACACCCCGAGTTGGTCCTTCTTTTCCCACTTCTACAGTTCTGCTGAGGAAAATCCTTCTTTTCCTCCCACTCAAGAGTCAATCCATTGACCACAAGGCCCTAATACCTCCTCAACTCAGAAATTATTAGAGGACACCGCCTCAACTTGTGGGTCGTGACCCCTTTGGAGGTCGAATGACCCTTTCACAGAGGTTGCCTAAGACCATCGGAAAACACATAAATATTTCACAATATATAATTATATATTGTTTTGTGATTAATCACTATGCTTTAATTATGTTTAACTACAATATGTTCACTTTGTAACAATGAAAATACATCCTGCATATTTACTTTACGATATAACAGTAGCAAAATTACAGTGATGAAGTAGCAACGAAAATAATGTTATGGTTGGGAGTCACCACAACATGAGGAACTGTATGAGAGGGTCTCGGCATTAGGAAGGGTGAGAACCACTGCTTTAGAGGAAGGGGAGTAGCTTTTCTGTTGATCAGAGAGGTCATCTGTTGGCCAACGTAGCAGCGGGTGGGGTTACTGAGCCACAGAAATGAAAAACAAGTTCCACCCTGCCTTTCTCAGCGCGGCCTGTCTCATGGCTGGGTGAGGAGGGCCGAGGTTCTTTTGGCTTCCGGTACTCATGTGGTAAGCACAACTGGGGCAGAGCTCGGGAACCCCCTTCTACCGGCAACCTTGGAAGCAGCCTTTTCCCCTCCTACCCTCGGGAACTTTGTTCTGCCAGGGTCAGAGTTTTCAGGACGGGTCTGTGAACTTCTATGCAGCTGGCGGGCACATGGACTTGGAATCCACTCAAGATGAGTTCTGAGGTCAGATTAGTATATGAAGCCAGTCACAATTTGGTCCTGTCCTTCGCAACTATGTCTTCACCATCCATCTACTTCCTCCCAGCCCTTTCCCTCTACCCATGTATTCTGCTAGAACGGATCTGCAAGTCCATTTTTAAGGTAGGAGCTTTCGTAAGCACATGAGAGGCAAACAAGTTGCATATGGAATTTTGAAATCATAATATTTTTCCCTTAAAAAATCTAAAGAGCAGTAGCTCGTAGTCTTTCAAGATAATAGGTATTAAGTAAAACTCAGGCTTTGCGATCACATAAGTTGTGGAAGCCTTGGATCATAGGGAAGCAACTTCTTCCTGGCAGGGCCT